GGGGTAATTTGGTGTTTATTACCTCATTACCAAAGTCAGGTCTCTAGACTTGTTCTTCTAACAATTTTAGGTCTCATATCAAAATTGTAATTTTTCTTTCCTTTGGCAGTACTAGGATTTGAGCTCAGAACCTCATGCTTGCTAGGTAGGCACTTGGCCACTTGAGTCCCTAAGCTATTTTGGCTCTAATTATTATTCAATAGGTTCTTGTATTTCTGCCTAGAGTCAGTCTCCAACTGTAGTTCTCCTACCTACCTACCTAGAGAGTGGCAGGAATGACATAGACGTGCTACACACTCTGTGTTCCTGTAAGAATTTGTTTGTCCATTCAGACATCTGAAGAGCCGGTGAGAGTGTTTGTAGTCTGATGGACCCGGCCTGGCCAGCACTGTGCTTGTGTCCCTGTGCAGTCAGGCTGGGCTACCCCTGTTTCAGTCTTTCAAGCACTTGGTTGGGAAGCAGGAGAAGCTCTCAAGAGTGCCTGGTGTGTGGCAGTGGCTGTGGCTAGAACTGACATCTATCTGGGCGCTCAGGCCGGAAGGCTGCAGGGACTTTTTTCTATGGTGCCAGGGCTCAGGCAGGTGGCACCTTCTCTATTGGGGTTTGAAGTGTGATCTTGGAGTAGATATTTCCATGGAAAGCTGAAAAAAATTTAGAAGTAACACCTCATTGAGTGATGAACCCCAGGAAGCTGAGGGCGGTAGACTCTACGCAGCTTGCATAGTCTCCCCAAATGCAGGAAATCCAGCTGGTGTAATTGTAGATAATCAAGGAAGGACATGATTATTATTACCAGTAATATATTTAAAACAGTAGTTGTGAATCTTGGCTAACGGATCTTATATTTTTATATACTTTCCTGAATGGTTTACCCCCACATATAACGTGTGTGTGTGTGTGTGCGCGTGCGCGCGCGCGCACGTGCGTGTGTGCACGTGCACATGCATATGCTGATACTGGAGTTTGAACTTGGTGCCTCGCTCTCTTTGTTGGCTTCCCCCTCCAAGGCTGGTGCTGTACTACTTGGGCCACACTTCACTTCCAGTTTTATTTTGCTGGATAATTGGCGATAAGTGTCTTGCAGTCTTTCCTGCCCAGGTTGCCTTTGCTTCTCAGTCCTCAGATCTCAGCATGCCGAGTAGCTGGGGTTCCAGGTGTGACCCTCAGCACTTGGAATGCTAGCTGCTTTTCATAGGTACAGAACCTAGGGCCTCATGCATGGACTGTATCCCCAGCCCCCTGCTTTTTTTTTTCTTTTTGTAAAAAAACGAGTCTTGCTGTATAGCCCAGACTGTCCTCAAACTGTCAATCCTCCTGCCTCTGCCTCCCAAGCACCGGATTGCAGGTGCTCCCCGCTCCAAAGTACTTCTTAAAAAAACATAGTTTAAAAAAGGATCATATAAAGATCAATTACATATTCTTTGTTGAATATACAGGTAAGAAAAAAAATTAAACTCACAGCCCAGAGAAAACTAGAATCATGGTGCCCATCAGATTGCTTTAGGCTTCATTCCAGAAGCTTGCATTCCCGCAGAGTAGGCCGTCGCTGTTGATGGGACAGAGTAGCTCGTGGTCCAGGGACATTGGTACTGTTCAGTGGGGAGCCCTAGCATGTAATCAGGAGCCCCACACACCCCACTTTCCTGCCTTCTCTCCATGTGTAAGGTGTGTGTGTGTGTGTGTGTGTGTGTGTGTGTTCCAGAGTGTGCGTCCTCCCAAGCCTGCGTCTTCACTCCTCTGTGGAGACAACCCTCTATTTGGGTCCCTGAAAATAGTAACAATATGGTGAACTTGAACTAAAGAATGTTTATTTTGCTGTCTGTGGGGTGCAAGCTGCTTCCTCAGTTGCCGGATGGGCTGATGGGGCGCAGCATGGGCGTGCTTTTATTGAAGCTTAAACCCACCCGCGGGAAAGGAATGGGGGAAACACAGGACCCACTGTTGCTGGTGCTGCTGCTGCTGCCGCCGCCGCCGCCGAACACTGAGCAACAGTTGGGTGTGCATAGTCGCCCCTGCTCCTAGGGAACAAGTGATTTGGGGAGGTACAAGATTGATTGTACAGAGAGCCACCCCTGGGGAGCCTCAATGGGACAGTCCCCACAAGAATCAGCCACGTTCGTGAGAGAGGCAGGTATAACCGCACTGAACGCCCAGCTGAGGCTTTCTGCAGCATTAAGCTCTGAGGCCAGGCACTAGTACCTTCCAGGCGATTCTCCAAGCTCACTGCCCTGGAGATCTGATTGAACTTACTGGTGGGAAACCTAGTGGCACCTTGCAGTCATCCAGAGCTCATCCCTGTGGTGGACATGTCCGGTGACTCGACTTGCAGAGCTGGAGAAGGGGCGTGGCATGGAGGGGTGGCTGCGGACAAGGCTCCACTTCCCATCGGGGCCCAGGGCCTCCCCTGTTCCACGCCGCCTCCACCTCCGCATTCCATGGCTGTGATTTTGTTCTGTCCTCCTGGACGTTTTGCGGGGAGGATTCCACATAGCAGAGAGGCCAGGCCTTGTTTGGGCTAGATTTGGCTTCCATGAAACACCTGGGGAATCTTTTTTTTTTTTTGGTCTTGCCATGTAGCCTTGGAGTTTAGTCCCTTCCTTTCTGTCTTCTGCACAGCCTGGCCTGGAAGCTTGACTGAATCTGTGGCTGAGATCTTTTTCTGATGAGAGCCAGGTGGGGGGCAAGGGGGGACGCCTGTCTTCTTGAGCGCTGAGACCCATCTTGAACCTGCCAGTTCCAGGCACCATCACGAGCGGGAGTCTATTTTTGGACATCCTCCCCAATGAGGTTGCCTGTTATTTTTGCAAGGTATTTTTCTTTCTTTGGCAAGCGCACAGTGTCTTTCTTCACAGTGAAGGATCCCTTAGCTCTTAAGTTTGACATGATAATCATAATTCTTTAAAACCTAGAACTTGAACAGATATACATTTTTAGTGTTTTTCTCTTTATTTTTTCAACTAATCAGATAGAATCTGATCTCTATCCCATATGGCCTTACCTAGAAAGTGAGACAATTAACAGGGGGGGGGGGAGGGAGAGAGAGAGTTTATTGGTTCTGAGATTTGAACTCAGGGCCTGGGTGTTTTCTCTGAGTTTTTTTCTTTTTTCTCAAGGCTAGTGCTCTACCACTTGAGCCACAGCCCCACTTCAGCTTTTTGGTGGTTCATCGGACATAGGTGTCTCATGACTTTTCAGCCCAGGCTGGCTTCAAGCCTCGATCTTCAGGCCTTAGCCTTCCAAGTAGCTTGGATTGCAGGTGTGAGCCACCAGCTCCCGGCCACAGAAACTTCTAAAATCACAGACCTTTTTACACTGCCTCTTGCTCTGAAGAAACATCCTGTGAACTTTTCTGAGCAACAGCATGTTTCTCCATTAGCAGAGGCAGCCTGAACATGCTTCTGTCGTGACTACAGGCTGCCTTCCATTTTCCGGAGCAGTCTTGCCTTACCTAAGCCCACCTGCAGTGATTTCATTGTCTTAAGTTTAAAGCACAGAACCCCTCCGGTTTGAAATCTCATGGATGGCCGTGAGCACCGGTGACATTTATGTTTACAAAATATTTCCAATCTCTTGTAACTCTATCATGCCTCCTAGCAGACTGGTTCCATGAGGTAGATGCAGGAATTCCTTAGGAGAGGGACCGTGCATAGAAAAGCGAGCTGATCACTCATGCCAGGGTCTAAGCTGGTCCTGGGTCCGGCTGCAGGCTGTAGGCATCTGGGATGGAGACAAAGCAGAGATTTTGGGCACAGTGTATTGATGCCCACCACGGAGTAGCATGCCTGATTATATCAGTTATTTGAACATCAGGAGTCCAACTGGACCTACAAATATGCTTGTAACTTACTGTAGCTCATGCAGGCTTCTTGGGGTTACCTACATGTACGTACTGTCTGGTTAGCTTTTTAAGATTTGAGCCAGGGGCTGGTGGCTACTCAGCAAGCTGAGATTGGAGGATTATGGTTCAAAGCCAGCCCAAGCAGGAGAGTCTGTGATTCTTTTAGCTCTAATGAACCACTGGAAAACTGAAAGTGGCGCTGTGGTTCAAAGTGGTAGAGCCTTGGGGCTGGGAAGGTGGCTCAGCGGTAGAGTGC